CGTTGCCAGCCAGCCTCAGCCAGGTCTTCACTTAGGACGAGATCACGGATTCTGACCAGCCGGGATACAGTAGTCTCCATGGCCCATTCAATCAAACCAGAGCTTCGGAGCAGGCTGGTGACCATGAACCAGCCACAAGCGCATACGAATCCAGCGGCACAGCCGGCAAGGACTTGTTTCGGGGTGTGGTAGTTGAGGTAGACTCGGCTGGCAGCAACACCAGCTGCTCCAATGCAAAGGGCCAGCATGACCAGGACCCGTAGGAGGACGGCGACATTGGGGTAGGAGCTGGCGGAAGCTTGGCTGTGACGGAAGAGAAGGAAGAAGGTGAGGTAGACGGAGAAGAAGGTCATGAATTGGGCGTGTGAAGATGGCATTCCATATCCCTTGCCGAACATTTCTGGAAATTACACGTGTCAGTTTGGGGAAAGTACGCACGAGACCATCAATATCAACAACTTACCCTTCGGTCGCTCTTCCTTGATCAAACGTTTGAGAACAAAGTTCAAGGCTTCACAACCCATCTGTCCTACAAACATCAAGATGACCTCCACCTCTCTTGTTGACCATATCAAGGTTGCATAGGAAACGCATAGTGCCTGTGGGATCAGGGCCAGCCATGCTGAGGCAAAGGACAGCCGGTCCTCGGGGTTCTGGAAACCTAGTTAGTGGGTAAGTCAAGTGATTATAATGGTGGTCACTAACGTAGTGGACATGAGTCAGAGACAACGACGCCAGCGGAGTGTCTCCCATGATGTTTTTTAGAAAAAGGAGTGAATAAGGGAAGTTCCAAAAGTTCCAAAGTCCCCTAAAACTTGGAGATTTCCCTTTTCAGGGATTATCAGGGTCAATGCCAAGACCCAATGCCAAGACCATTATCAGTGAGCGATAAGAAGATTGGGCAGCGGGGACTTCGAACGTTCAAATTGTTTTTCCTTTCCATCTTTTTTTTAGGCATCCGAGGAGGATTTGCCCTTTTCTTTTTTTTTTCTTGGTTTTGAATATATTTGGTGTCTTCTTTTTGATATCTCCATTCCGTCTGTCTTGTGTCTCACTATTTTAACTTTCAAACAATGACGCCGTTGTTCTCTCTCCAAACCCCAGACTCTCTATTGCATCATCTTTTGGACCCCTCCCGACTTTCTGCCGAACATTGGCCCATAGAAGGAATACTCGGAACATCTTCATCTTTGGTTGGTCTGACTTTTTTTTAACGGTCCAAGTCACAACTCTGATTCGAAGTCATCTTCCTGCAGGATATAAACCCCCCTTTTGTGCCCGATCGTCCTTAGTGACCGTTCACTTGGGATCGGTCATCATTATTACCTTGGTCAAGGTTTTATTTTTACGACAGTCATGAGCTATTGTTGCTAGGATTTCTTGCAGGAGACAACCGTTGTCTCCAAATTGCGATCCACTGGTATCATACCGGAGGCAAATATACAACCCACCCCCACCTGAGAAATCTTCACAAGTGATCTTACTCGGTTTCATCTCGCCATGACTGAACTCGACTTCCCAGAGGATGACCGCTCAGTCGAACTTTCCTCGATTGCTGCGATCTTTCCAGAAATACAAATCGATCCTTCCTCTCCGTTCAAAGCCGCTCTCGATCTTCCAGTCGCACCTTCCGCCCCAACCTCAATATGTTTTCAGCAACCTCTCGATGCCGCACCTGCCATCATCACACCTCCAACTTCATTGGATGAGTCTAAGGGAGAATTAGACCAGCCGCCTATTAAAGATGTCCATGCCCTCTCGCACTTGCCCCCGCTTAATCTCGAGATTGAATTGCCTGATGGTTACCCAGCCGAAAAGCCGCCTATCGTTCATCTGAAAACAGTCCCCTCATGGCTACCTCCTTCGGTCATCGATCAACTGTCCAGCGATTGCCAACGACTCTGGGAAGAATGTGGAAAGGATCTGGTCGTCTTTACCTATATCGACCATCTCCAACAGCTCGCAGAAACAACTTTCAATATCCAGGATTCGTCTGGGGAAGTATCTTTGTCGCGGGACTTGAAGATCGGACTACTGGACTACAACAAAAAAGCCGAGCGAGAAAAGTTTGAGCAGGGAACTTTTGAATGTGGGGTATGCCTTGAACCGAAGAAGGGAACCGTTTGCTATCGATTACTTCGCTGCTCCCACGTATTCTGCATTCAATGCTTGCAGGATTTCTACAACTCCTGCATCACCGAAGGTGACGTTGACAGTGTGAAATGCATGGCGCCGGATTGCGAGTACAACAAGAGACCTGCAGCTGTACCAGGCGATGGCCAAACCCCGCCACGCAAGAAGCGCGATCGTACCCTAGGACCAAGCGAGCTACTTCAGATCCCTCTAGCCGCTGAAACGGTCCAGCGATATGCATTCCTTAAAAGGAAGAAAAAAATTGAAGCCGACAAGACCACAGTCTACTGTCCACGGCAATGGTGCCAGGGAGCTGCACGATCCAAGCGGCACCCCAAGCCAGAAGATCCCATGTCGGATGACTTGGATAGTTCGGACGAAGAAGATGGTTCAGAGCCCCGCAGCGAAGTAAAAGATGGTGAGCTTCCTCCCATGGCGGAGCGAGTGTCTATCTGCGAAGACTGTAACTACGCCTTTTGCTGCGTCTGCAAGAAGGGCTGGCATGGCGAGTTGGTACGCTGCTTCCCACGCCGCGACGGCGAGCCCACAGAGGAAGAAAAGGCAACCGAAGAGTACCTGCGTCTGTACACTACCCCTTGCCCGACTTGCAACGTGCCCTGCCAAAAGCAAATGGGATGCAATCACATGCGCTGCTTCCAGTGTGACACACACTTTTGCTATCTTTGCTCGGCCTGGCTGTGTGCAGACAACCCATATAAGCATTTCAACGACGAGAAAGGCCAATGCTTCAATCGTCTGTGGGATTTGGAAGGTGGTGATGGTATCAACCCCGACGGAGCCGAAGCACTCCACCGCATCCCAGATGCACTCCTAGACTTTGATGACGACCCAGCGGTGGTAGCCATCCACGAAGAAACTGATGAAAGCGATGACGACCGCCCCGCATTTGAATTTGATAACGATGAAGACGATCTCCACCGACACCCTCCTCCCCCCGCCCCCGTTCCACCCCAAATCAACCGTGGTGGCGGAAGACCTGGCCAGCGTGATCATGCAGCTGCCCGCGCTGCAGCAGCTGAGCGCCAAGCCCAAGCTCGCGCCATGGCTGAGGTACGAAACCGAAATGCGCGACGACAGGCCAGACGCCCTATCCGATGGGCAGAAGCCCCTCCCCAACGTCTCCCTCCACAGGCAGGTGACCCTAGACGTCCTGTCCGGTGGGCAGAGGTTCCTGCAGAACCATTGGCAGATGAAGAGGGTCCCATCCGATGGGAGGCTATCGCGATCCGACCAGATCGAGCACAGGCACATCCTGGCCTTCAGCGATTTTTAGATCTAGTACAAAACGACCGTGAAGACGAATGGGACAGTGATGAGATGGATGATGACTTCTAGATCGAGATTCTATGTGCATGACTCAATATTCAACCGCACATGAGAGTTTTCGCATTTTCTTCCCTTCCAAAAAGCGTCTTGATGACATTGATGCATACAACGAATTCATGTTCTTTTCTTTCCCTTTCTTCCTTTCCCGTTTTGTGTTTTTCATCAATTCCCCCTTTGTCTTTTGTCGCATTGCGTTTCGTTTCCTTGCTTTTTTTTTGGTTTTTTTCTTTCTTTCGTTTCTATCTGCTTTTGCTTCTGATTTTCATATACTAGGTCTTTCTTCTCTTGCCAAGCGCAGACATTGTTCATATATACTTTCCCACACATATAGCGTGTGTCGCTAGCGCCTTGCTTATTTGATATTCTGATTTTCTATTTGGTACTTTTATAATTTCATCTTGGTCGACCGTTTGATTGTCTTTGGTCTTTGGTCTTTGACAGTAGAACATGGGCATATAGTTTCATTGTCCTCTATGGTCACTTAACTGGATCAGATGTATACAACAATAAAATCACATAACATTTTGGTTATGACTGCCGCCACTTTTTTGAGTCCGACTTGGTGAGTTGCTCAACGTAGTCACGTAGCGTTTAAGATATTGAACACGAGTGATGTATGTGTAACAAAACGTCAACGTAACTATTCGACAAGCGAGTGGATTACCGCAAAACACAGAGTAAGGAATCCGATTTGTCGGAACTGTCGATAGCCAGCCCTGGGGGTCTTATTGTTGTCTGTCCCTGTTTAAGATTTACATCGAGAAGATAAAGAGTTTCGCTTATCAACTTTCTCATTTGGCTAGAAGTGCTCGGAAGCACATTTCCAGTTGGCATCAATGTACATTTGCCCTTGCCGAACTTACAATATAAGATTTGCTACTCGCGACAATTCCCATATGACAATCTTTCGGAGGATTTGATTCTCAAGGATGGAAGGTATCCCTCTAGTAACATGCGAGACTTACCTAGATCCTGACCTGTCATTGTTGTTCACAACCCAATTCGACTGCTCGAGTGGGTTAAGAAATGCTTCCGCTATATCTTGCCGCAGAGCGAGGTCAGTAAATTGTAAGCTCACCTCGGAACACAAGATTACCTGCAGTCAATCAAGAAACAATTTGCTAACCAGAGCGAGATTAGTAGGGTGGCGGACTTTGTCCAAGGAATTGGAACAGTACCTGCTTTGATGAGTAGTGTTGAGTCTGGGTTCCAATCCCATCAATCTCAAAAGGGTATACATGAAAAAGTCAATTTGTTGAAACCTGCGTTCCAACCCTGAATAAGCCAAACTTGGGTTTGATTATTTCATTATCAATTGCTATTTATGGGCAGGTAGGATACCATATCAAAAACAAGGTGGAGACTGAAAGAAGGGAAGGCAACCCCGGACACCCGTTGCTTCTACACTAGACCCGCTAGTGAAGCACCAGTTTGCAAGTGACTGTGTACCAAAGAATCCTTGATCGATGATTAACACTTGGTGACTCATAAAGTCAAGGCGTCCCGTATAATCGATCAAATCACTCTAACTCATGCGCATGGGTGTTGTTGGGCTTTGTTTCATTGGCATCAAGTTCTGCCCGCCTAGACTCTTCAGCCGGCAATTCATGTTTCTGACCATCAGTTCCAAGCTCCGACAACACTGGCTGATCAATATTATCTCCTCGTGCAAGCCCTCGGTGCTTCTGCCTGCGCCGATAGAGGAAGAAAAGTACAAACACAAGCACAAGCACGCCCAATGCGACCCCGACCCCAATGCCGGCCGAAGCGCCCGCGGAAAGTCCTGAACTTGTTGACTCTGACCTCTCGGATGATGTGGTCGATTCATTGAATCCACTGCTTGGGGTAGCCGAGGTAGGAGAGTCTGTTGCGGTGGAAGAAGCAGTAGCGCTAGGATTGGAGGAGCTCGGAGTTTCGGATGTGGTACTACTGATCACGACCACCGTCGTGCCCTGAGTTCTGGTGAAGGTAGCAATTGGCTTCTCCGGGGTAGATGTGACGGATAGGATATCGGCTGTTGCTACTGCGTCGCCCAAGGTGAACCCTGTCGCCACCACCCCCGCCGTCACTGCTCCTTCAACTTTAGATGCCATGTTGAACAAAAGTAGGAGTGATGGGGAAGAGAAGAGGATGGGGGAAAGCGACCAAGAGCGGAAGGAAGAAAAAAAAGAGAAATCTCACTAGGCTTGACAATTCAACGCGCTCGCACTAATTAGGGGGGCAGGGGACTGTTCTAGATAGGTCAGATGCACTTGCATGAGAGAGTGACTGATACTATCAACCTCAAAACAAGCCCAATTAAACCTTCGAACAGGGGCCTCTAAGTTTTTACATATAGAACATACAGATTAATGAGGGTTTGATGGCCAGCAGGAATAGCCATCTTTATTTCCACCTACGAAGTACAGAGTAAAGTCTTGTGCTGCGAGGTGAAGAGGCCGGGGATTGGGGGCGGAACGGGGCGAGTCTATAGATGTGAGACCCTAAAAATCCTCCAGATGTCTCAAACCTAAGGGGGATTTGGACCCGATATTTTTTTCTCAGTCAATTACTTGGTCTCTATTTCAGTAGTGACTCTATTTACACACGGGTCTCCATACAAAGCCCCAGTGTCCCATGCTAATAACCCGTGCTCTAATCCCACATCGCATATCCATCATTATAAGCTTCCATCTTCAAATTTGTCACAGTCAATCCCAACTCTGAATATGTCTCAGGACTCTCCTCCCAAACAACCTCACCCCCACTCTTCCCCCAATCAGAATCATCCGACCCCTGAGCATCCACACACGAGTTCGCAGAACTCGAATATTAATACGGCTTACACAGAAAAACTGATCCTAATCCATTGGGACTAACCCCTGTGGCAGTAGTGAAATCGCTGTGACAATAGTGTCCTACTTGAATAAATGTATCTTGGGAGAAGCCTTGGAAACCTTGTTTAGGTGACTAAACATTGCGTTTAAGCTTATTTGGCGTGGAACCAATCAGGTCCACCTTGGTTAGAGCCTCAAGTCGCCGATGTATGTACGGATTAATCACGTCGAACGATGACATTTCTTCATACTATTTCCCGACTACAGTTATTGAGTTTAATGTACAATATTGACGTCGATATTTTGTATTGCTTCAAGTTCGTTTGACATACATTTGTACAATTAGATACTAACACGGGTGGATCTGTTGGTTTGGATGACACTTCTTACACCCATGATTCAAGAAGCGCAACCTGATTTATTTGGTGATTGAAATTAACCTCTCCAGTCGTGCCAGAACTCATAGCTCATGGCTGTAAGATCACAGAATAGCAAAATCAACCTGTAATGTCGAGAAGGGTGGTAACCATGCCAGGTCTCATGAGGTTGGTAGATGTCCGAGGCATAGGCGTGGGTTTCGGGAATTGTAAGGTTCAGGTCTTCGGAGTCAGAGCTGAGGCCCGGGTCAGAGGGACTGGAAGCCCCGTATTCAGGCGGGTCTGGGACACAAGGCTCATCTTTATCTGGGTTGAGCAGACGGTGGTTGAATCTCAACCGATCTTTGGGGTTGACATCCCGAGGAATACAAGGGACATCTGGCGGTATCTCAAATCCAGGCATGGGACTTGCAGCAATACCCATAATAGGTGGTGTTGGACATCCATCGTCCCTGTCCTGGTTGGCGAAAGGGAGAAGCCAGTCTACGCGAAAGGAGTGGCCAATTTCTTCCTGCCATGTAAGAGTGATGATGGCAACTCCACCGGCCTGGGAGGCGGCAACAACGATCCCAAGTTCAGGGAGGTACTTGACCAAGTTTAAGCGATCACAGGAAGAGAATATGGTATCTCCTACCATCGATTCAAGTGGATTTCGACAGAGCGACCGGAATCCATGGTCCAACGGATAGGGATCTAAAGTTATGTTATTTCCAGAGAAGTGGAGAATAGGGAAAAATCGAGGGTTGCACGCTGAGTAACAGGTTAGCATTCTAATCTAATAAACCGAAGTATATCGCTCACTTACGATGGCGTATAAAACCGTTTGAAACATCGTCGTCAACAACAGGATCATTGCCCCACTGCTCATTTTCTTCTTCAATCAAATTGGAAATACCACGTCTCACGCGGATAGATCGACTGCGTGGAGCTACCTCATCGTCTTGTGATAATCCAGTGCTGGTAACAACGCTGTCACTAGTGCTGGCAGGAGATGCAGTTTCTGAGGCCTCTGGAATTGTATGATCACGCTCTGAGCTCAATGATCGAGGCGGAGATTCAGTATGAAGATCATCAGGAAGAAAAACATCGTCTGGCAGAAGTAGCCTCGAAATTGTTGCACGTTCTTCAAGCGCGACTTTCTTAGAAGCGGCGAACGATCTCGACGCAATATAATCAGCTGCATCTGACACTTCGAAAATCATCCGACCATTTATCTTTTTTAGGTCTGGCTCGCATCCACAGGCATCAAACTTGTATTGGTGCTGTTGAACTCTGTGGGGATGTAAAGGAAAAACAAACCAGCCCCTTTGTTCTAGACCACTCCCTGGAAAATCATAACTGGATGTATTGACAGGAGATAGCTTGTCCCAGACTCTCCATACAAAGACTCGGTTGAGGATATCGGTGCTGACCATCCACAGGCCATTGGGGTCCAATTCAAAGTTGGCAAACGACACGGATGGGATGTTGTCAAAATGGCCCTTATAGCTGAGCCGCAGGTTGCGTGTCCGATGATGGGGCATGTCCTGTTTTAGCTCCTCCATTGACGGTGGATTGTCTATTGATACCCATGTGCTTTCCAGTACATCGGAGCCTCCAATATTTGAGGTCTCAGAGGAACTAGGACTGTTATCGTCACTCTCAGACATAACATCCACCAACGCGAAAGCAAACACTGTTATGACGCCTGTGTTCGCGCTCACGGCAATCAACCGAGCGAATTTGTGGGTGGCTAAGCCCCAGGCACTTAACTGAACATGTTCAGCGAAGAAAGGCTTTACTTCATGCGCATCAAATGGTCGACTGCCTCCATGTTCGGCGCTCCTATTGATTGCTGAGAAAATAGCCTCGACATTGTAGCCAGTAACGTTTCCAGAGTCTGTCGCCAACAGCAAAACCTCATCGACTCCCAGATCATCCACAATGATATGATTGATTGTATGAGGCCTAGCACGATCGATGTATCCAGGAGAATTGGGTTCTTTCATCACCGGGCGAATGATCATCTCGGGTTGGGAGCCAAGGAGCTGGCGAGGTCCACTGGGAACCCATACGTAAATATCCTGGAGCTGAGCTGTAAAAAGCAAATTTCGACGCTGCGAGAGGGCCGCCTTTCAAAACCAAAGTCAGAACCGAGGGGAAATTATACAGTCGAAACAGCCACTCGGCTAGTAGGTACTCACCAGGTTACACCTCCAAGTAGATACAGTTGGCCTAGAAACATCACTATAGCTTAATGATAATCAGCCACAGTGAATTGAGGTAGTATAAGTATAAACACTCACCTAGGAAACTAGCAAAAGTCAGTTCATAGTTCTCACGTGAGGTAACTTCAAAGACAAACGTACGCGTTCCTCATCTGTTTCAACATTCAAGGTTTGTACTTGGGGCCGATATCGCGGAAATTCTCTCTCCGTATCTGTAGAGCACGCGTCCTCAGAAAGAGGAGAAGACATTGCTGTAGGCTAAGGGTGCTTGTCTCCAATGGTGGAGCGCAGAGAAGAATACTTCCTTGGGTCTGAGCAGAGAGAGTCGTGAATAGTAAAAGTAAGCTTGTTCTGTCATTTCCAAGGGTGGAAAGGCCAAGCCACAAGAGACAGAAGGGTGGGAACTTCGTAAACAGATCATGATCAAGCTGGTCGAAAACATCTCCATGGCTGCGGGGAGGTGCAATCATCCGATGATGGAATGACTGACCGCCCGCGCACGGTCCACTTTTTGAGTTGAGTACGTACAGACAGCTTTAAAAGGCTTTGGCTTTCTCCTTCCTACAACATAGACTCCTTCAACACAGTCATATTACATTATGGATTTGGTTGCTGGTGTACGCAAAGAAGGCAGCCGGTAAGTTGATTCGCTGGATATCATTGTTCAATATGTTCAAGTTCGCTAATTTTCGCATTAGCGGCGGCCGCAATGAGTTCAAATGGTCCGACGTCCAGAGTTCCGCGCACCGCGAGAACTATCTAGGCCACTCAGTAATGGCCCCAGTCGGCAGATGGCAGAAAAATCGAGATCTTGCCTGGTATGCCAAGGGAGACGAAGATGAGGAAGAACGAATCCGGAAAGAGCGAGAGGAACTTCAACGTGTCAAGGAGGCCGAGGAGGAAGCAATGGCCGTCGCTCTGGGCCTCCCGGTGCCCCCGAAAGCATCTGAAAACGCCAACATGGTCCCCTTAGGAGGATCCAGCAGTACCGACATAATGTCAAAAGAAGAAGAGATGCCAGATGCTGCAACAAGGGAAAAAGACCACCGCTCCAGTCACCGACACAGACGCGAGCGAACCCGAAGCCCGCGACGGGAAAGGCGACATGACCGGGGCGACGATTCTACACGTGACAAGGATCGCAGACACCGCAGACATCATGACGACCGAGAGCGCCACCATCGCACCCATCGTCATAGATCAAGATCTCGCGGTCGAGACCACTACAGACGGCGCTCAGCGTCCCGTTCTAGGAGTCGACCCAGCCGAAAAGACGAGGAACACCAGAAAAGACGACGGATGGAGCGCAGCTACTCACCAGCTGAGCGCCGGCGACACCCCGAACGCAGACGAGACCGAGATGACCATGACCGCCATTGAGCTACAGACTAGGGATATCAATTGTTACATTAGCTTGGCGTTGGAGGAAATCGATTCAAATATTGGATAATTGATTGCGTACAACTATCTATCAATATGACCACTATCTAATCTACATGACGAACCTTTTCACATTGAGGTTCAATAGCTTACAACTCGTCATGAGTGGTCTTTTCAACTTTGACCAAATCAGGCATGGACATCATGTTCACCACCATACTGGTCCAGCCGGTAAAGTGCTGTGTCCGCTGGCCATTGCCCGAGTCGGGGTTGTACTGTTCCCAAGCGAACCCGGTCTTCTTCCACTCGCGGAAGACATTCTCGACCAAATTCTTCCGCAAGTCGGAGTACATCTCCCGCGCCTGTTCCTGGTGAGGACCGGAAACCGTTGCAGTGTCCTGTGAAGGTTCTGTTAGATTTTGCGGGCAAATACGTCAAAAGATGTAAGCACTTACATAGAGATTTTTCAACACCAAGTAGTTGATGTTAATCCAGATAGGGCTTCTCCAATAGTTCTCATCGGTCTCGTAGAACTTATCCTTCTTGCTCAGACTGCGGATACCATAGTCACTCCACAGCTCCTCGGGGTCACTGATCAAGTCCAACACAGCCTTGAGACGCGGGCTATCAGGACCCAGCATACCAGTCAGGAAGGGGAAGATGGAGATGTAACCCTTGTGGCAGACGTGGACACTCTCTTCGTATTCATCGATAGTCGCATCACAGAAGGTCTGCTCCTTCTCGTCCCAATGCAAGTCATCAATGTTGCGAGTGATAGCAGTCTCGTAGTAAGCGAATTCCTCAACATCTTCTTCCTCGCCGAGGCTCTCGGCAATGCGACGCATAGCGCGAGTCATCATTCCCATCCAACTGATCAGATCAACATGCAGCTCACCGGGGTGCGGCGGCTGAGCTCTGGGGTAGTCATCGATGCCAGAAGTGAGGATGTGCTGCACGGAGCGTCCGCGCCAGCGGTAGCCTTCCTTGGTCGAGAACGCTTCACGGTCATACGACTTGATATCGCCGCGTTGAGTGTTTCTGTACCAGTTGTAGTGCTTCTTCAGGAGCGGGTAGAATGAGCGAAGGTATGCTTCAGACAGTTCCGGGTGTCGGACAGTGGCAGAGCGCAGGCTCGCGGTCGCATCTTGGTTGTCCAGGGATCCGAACTCGTTGCTCTTGTTGTGGCTTGTCTTGACTTTGTCCATGAATGCTTCCAGGGCCATGAACAGAGTGGGCGGGTTTGCGTAATGGGGATATTGAATCGTAAACTCCGGGGGAACCTTGCTACGTGCCTCTTGACCGAGAATTTGTTCACGGGCAATCCATCCATCCTCGTCCATCAAGTGGAACCAGCTCTTGATAATCTCGAGGCTGTAAAAGTCAGTTTATCAGCTAAAACTAGCAAATGAAACGAAATTAGGTATAAACATACGCAAGATCAGTATCGTATTCGATCACGGGCATCAAATGGAAACCTTCATCCCAAAGGAACCCTCTAGGGAAGAATGGCCGGGAGGGAACGCAAGTGAAAAGCTCCTTCGGGCCTTCAATAACAGGCTGCACGGCAGCCCTGGCCTCGGCAGTCTCTTCCCAGAAGCCTTCATTCTCCTCTTCGTACGCAGGGTTTGCAGAGCGATCGACGACATCATCGCCGTGGAAGAATCCAATGCCACCGATAAGGTTAGACAACATTGCCTTGGAGAAGCCCGAGTACTTCGGCGAGTCAAATGGCGCCTTTGGCTGGAGCAGCTGCTCAAAAGTCTGAGAAAATGAAGCCGAAGCATCATCAATTTCCTTAGTGAGGATTTCCGAAGTCAATGGTTCGGGAGCGGAGCCAGAGGAGAACAGGACATCAAACTCGAATGCACCTGTAAAAACCTTCTGGACAAGATGGGCATTGCCCTGGCCAGGCTTATGCTTGATAGTAAAAAGCTGGGCCGGGGGCGGAATGTTCTCTTTTCCATACTCTTCAAGGGCTTCATCAACCTCTGCCTTTAATTGAGTGAAGAAGATTCCCTTTGCTTGCCAAAGCTGCTCCTCCGGGAAGGCCACACTAGCTACAATGCTGCGATCCAATGGCTTGTCCGTGGAGCTAGGATGATTGTAGCGGGGGTACGAGTTGGTTTCCGGTCCAGTGGTAACATCGATAGCGAAATCACCAAGCTCAGTGGAGTATCCCTCGAGCTTGACATTGCCTTCCACGCCAGTGGACTCAGAGGATGAAGAATCGGCTCCCAAATGACCGAACCCCTCAAGCGTGGAATAAAAGATCATTGAAATGGGCTGATCGGGGTCTGCACCCTCTGTGGGCGTGCCTTTGACTCGGAATCCCCAGCTACCTCCGTGCTGGCCACCGGGAACTTTGATGAAATCAATTGTCAAGTCCAAGCTGTTCCCAGCGTCGTGAATGGTTTCCCGTCCACCCTTGCGGATATCATACTCGTCCCAGCCATACCCAGCCATTCCCTCATTTTGTTCGCACGTGTGTCTAAAGTCTTAGGTGTATGTTAGTTTTCAAGTTCACCAATGGAGCCGAGGTACCAGAAATCACATACTTTGTTGAGCACCGGCATAATCGTCAACCTTTCCCCAGATCAATCCTGCCGTAAGACTCTTTGGAATGCGAGGGCGCACTCCAAAGTAGAGATTCGACTTGTAGGGACCCCATAGCAGGGACTCGTTGCTGGCGCGTCCGGCCTCTCTAATCAAGACGGACACATCGTTGGGATCTTCGCTTGCAACAATCCCAGTTGCACAAAGCAGAGAAGTCAATAACGCTGAAATTCTGAGGTGACGCATTATGTAGCCTCAGTCAATTGACTGCTGTCCTCTCCGCGGGATTAAGCTATAGGTGTATGTACGTACTCCCCGCTTACCGCCTACTTGATATGGACTAGTCCCACATGCGTACCGGACAATGTCTACGAACGTCATCCGCTTTTCCTTTTCCGCTTTAGTGTTCCCCTCGTTTACACGCTTGTTCACGAGTATACTATGTCTGAAAAATCCATTCAAAATCATAGAAATATATGTGCCATCTATCATATTATAGACATTGTGGTATCAAGTATGTATTCACATGAACTCACGAGGATCCAACGATCCAATCTTCGCGCTCTTCGCTTTGCCATCAAATACAAACTCACTCATGAGCTTCCCTGTACCTGGCGCATTCTGGATACCCCAGCAGGTATGACCAGCTGCAATATACAGTCCCTTCACATCAGTCAGGCCAACTAGTGGCCCGGCACCAGAATCACAGTTTGGAAGATAGCAAGCTTGTCGGGTCCGGACCTCCCCGTCGCGCAGCTCGTCAGAAATACTACCCACATGGTCTATGATTTCCTGGCAGCGTTCCTGGTCAACCTCGACATCTGCAGTAGTCTTTGGTAGTGGAACTGTTCTATCTCCATCGCCACATGCATAGACAGTGGCATCAGGACGTGCGTAGATTTCTGGCGCAGCCACAGTTGGGCGTGATTTCTTTTCGGGGTTGAAGTCGGCTGGGATTTCGATGTTTGTAAACAGACAGTATGCACTGACTGGTTTCTTGGGCTGTATCACCACACTGTGGGCCCGCATGGCTGAAATCGGGACCTCCGGGAGGATAGTGTTCGTCCAGGGACCAGCAGCAACGAGCACATCGGTAGCGGCGATGGTTTGTGTTTCACCGGATGTTTTATCGGTGTACGTAACTGACTCAACAGAACTTTTTGACCGAGCGATATTTGTGACCTGCCCGAGAATGATACTTGCACCCTTCTCCTGCGCGAGCTTTGCAATGGATGTAGTAAAAAGGTATGGGTGCACTTGAGCGGTTTCGCCCGGTCCACTCATACTTTCATAGGCCCGAAGAAGCTCTGGCTCAATCCAATCCAAGTCGTGGGGTATTTTGGCAGACCTCAGCTTAGACATAGCCGCTGTGCTGCGTTTCTGGAGGGATTCCGTATTTCCACTCCCGGCTTTCCCTGCAGTGTTCTCACCAAGAGCACGGCCTTTCACGACGAGTTGGCCACAATTCACTTCTCTGTACCCCCATCGGTTGATACCATCATGCTCTTTTGCAAGTTCGGCATGCAGCTTATAGCTGAGACCAACGAGGTTGCTCGGGAATGCCCATTGCGCCAGCATACCACCCGCTTTTCCCGATGCCCCGCCTGCAATTTCAGAGGCCTCAATGAGTGTAATTTTGTGGCGGGTAGGGTCATAGGATGGGTGTCTGGTGAGGTAGTATGCAGAGCAACATCCAATGATGCCACCACCTGTGAGTATTTTGGTCAGCGAGTTGCGAATATAGCGCGCGGGGTACGAAAGTCGCAAACACTCTATTCTTACCAACAATAACAATCTCACGCCGGTCTTCTGCTGCTGACATCTTAAATTTTGGCGTTATCTTGGGCGCTAATGATCGCAACGAAGCCACTGTGTCGGAAGTTGTAATAGACAAGTTTGGACCGCAGGTGTGCTTAGACACAGAGATGCCTACGTCACTGGAGATCTAAGTATGTCCAGTCATATGTCGCATCCGCAATCAAGTTCACCATGACCGGTTTCTTTTATAGGGCTGACTATGAATCATTCAGATAAGTTTTTTTTTTTTTGGTTCACTAATATTTGAACTAATTGGTAGTAAATTCACAATGGCCTGGGCCATTGAATGGGAGGGTGAAATATCAAGCCAACAAAATAATACTCCGCAAATGCATGTCGTGTCAAAGGATGGCAGAAAAATGTCCAGTGTTTTGAATACAAAGAAAGTAGGAGACCGTTGGAATAGTAAAGATGTGAGGGTTCATCGCGAGGGGCTGAGAGGCCGGTTGAAACCGCCCTGGCGGTTCATGTACTGTCGGTACTCGATCTTCTTCTCTTTCCGCACACCATAGATGTCATTTCCGGGGATTTTCGTGTTCTTTGTGGTCCGGAACCTGGTGAAACCCATTGTCTTTCGCATTTGTGCTTCCATTTCGTCCTCGTCCGCATCTTCCTTGAAGTCTACGTCCATCTCATCCTCGTCGCGACCCGGTCCTCGTTGTGTGCCAGTTGCCTTCCGCCCATCGTCTCGCGATCGAGGATCTTTGCGGTCACTCTTGGGGCCTCGAGGGGGTGACCGGGCCTTTGTTCCATTGAGATGGGGAGATCGGGAGCGCGAACGTTCGCGGAACTTGACATTTTTGGGTGCATTAACTGATACTCATATGTTAGCAACGCACAAATACTCCGACGAGTTAAATATTTCACCAACCTCGCCTATCCTGGTTGCGCTCCCGGCTGATGCTCCTCCTTCGGTCTTGGGCCCCGCGCCCATCTCTGTCTCCGTCTCGTCGGTCCCGGTCGCGGCGATCTCGAGACCAGCTCCTTTCTCGCCTTCCATCCTTGCGTTCTCGCGAGCGAGAGCGATACCGGCCGTCGCGTCGGTCATCTCGTGGAGCTGGTGAACGTCTGCGGTCGCGGTCTGACTCTTGATCTGGCGCACGAGGCCGTTTATCATTTGAATCCCACATGGTAGAGCTGTCGACTCGGCGAGGACGCTTTGCAGGTGGCTCTGCCATTGTGAAAAAGGTCCGGTCTGGTTTGGGCGCTGCCCCGTACGGCGTGGGTGTTTGTTGCGGCTGGGGGCAAATGGGGATAGCCTTGCTCAAATTTCAAGAGCTTGAGCAATTAAAATAGGATTAAAGAGTAGAAAAGCGACTGCTCATAGGGATAGAATCGTAGAGGGTATCAAGTTATCGCAATGGGTGTTGGCCTGAATATCTGAGGACCAAAGAGAAGTTTATTCCGGCCGCGGGAAGGAACCAGATGCGCACTTTGTGACATGGCAGGTGACTGATCTATAACCCTACAAACAACATGGACTTGTACAACTTTGACTCGTTTCTAATAACTGCTTTGACAAGTGTGAGTAAAAGCTTCATGGAATATTGGATATAAAAAATATTACAGCGTGAATAAATGAGAGGAAAATTGGTCAAAATATATCTACAAATGTAATGATATATTCCTTCTCCAGGATCGGGTTTTCGTAGGCCATCCATCGCCTCAGTAAATAGAATATTATCTACTTACTCTTAATAATTTACATTTGAGATTTAAATCTAAAAAGCGTTCAAAAAGATAGCTTAAAAGATATCCCAAAAGACAGACATTCAAAACATAGTTCATAAGAAATCTCAAAAGACATCTAAAATGAATATAACAAGGCCGTATAAGCGGCTGATCGCAATTCTTGTCTTGTATATGCTCCCGGCGACGAATGAAGCGGTGAGGTAATATCTAATGAGAGAGTCATGAACCGGTGGCATACTTGGTTGTCCGTACATCTCATAATTGACTCTCAAAGGCGAGATGTAGTATCCATGTATATTATTTCTCTACCAATTCTCATTATTCTCGTCCGAACAGGGCCTTTGGAGCAGGGGGAGAGCCATCAATGGGTAGCAGACAACGAGTATGGAAAACAAGAAGATTGTCCGACTCAAGCCTCTCCAATATTATTCATCTCCTTTTCCAGAGTGTCCAAAAATAGCTCAGCCTGGTCATTTGAGATCAAATCCGGTGTATACTCAACCTTCCACAGCAGCGCATCGTCTCGCTCGCTAGAGCTCACCTCCAAATAAATAGCGCCAACGCCGGGCAGACCTTTCCAGTCAAACTGATCAACAGAGGTTTCCCCAACCGGTGGTTCTTCGAACACAGAATTGATCGGAGAGTCAACGGGTAAGGGTACGAAAATGGAATCGTTGTCTTGTTCAGCAGCAGAACCATTGAGTTGACCCCAAACAATGTTGACAATGACATTGAATTGTAACTCATTCCCGAATGCTTTCATTTTCTCACAGAGAGTCCGAAGATCGGTCTGATCATGGAGATTTCGCTGAACCAAGTCATGCTGCATGGCGACCAAGGCCTGTGGAGTTGGGGACGTCAGAGCATCTGGGACTACCAGTGGTAGCATGTTAACGGTAGGACCTGCCATATCTTGGATTTGCGGATACTCGCGTGAGCGCCCAGATTGGAAAAGGCCAAATGTTGGATGAGCAATGTCCGCGGTACGCGCAAGGCTGCGACCTACTGCCAGCAGCATCAAAGAAGGCACAGAAACTTCAAATCTCCGGCATTGAGCTTGTATTTCGCCGAGCTTCCGAGAGAATATGCGCTCAGAGGATTGAACGTGGAGAGCGCCCTCATGACCAGCAAGACCTGGTCCGAGGATAGTCCGCTCGCCCACCCCGAGTGTCCCTTCCCAGTAGCTCTGTGCAGATTCGGAGTTCGCTGCTTGAAGAGTGCTGGTTACAAAAGAAGAAAACTCGCATGGAGGTGCTAGGTTCTCTCCCTGGTACAACGCTTCAAGTTCCTTGACAAGAATTGTAATTGCCCAAGCGTCATACAAAGCATGATGCAAGGTAAGCACAAGAGCGTCCGAGTTGGGGTGCTGGATTAGATGTAGCCGAGCAGGAGGTGTGAAGAGGTTCGAAGGGTTGCGAGAAAGGCGATGAACCAAGTCTTGAACCGATGCATTCAGGTCTCCAGTGGATTGCTCGTTGTACACCTGAACTTCTCCATTGGCTTTGCTCCCATTCTGAACAACCTGCAAGACTTCACTTGAAGACACGGCTGCGAATGATGTGCGAAGGATTGTGTGTCTTCTCTGTAGCTGTAGCCAGGCGCCTTGAACTTGTTCCGGGTCAAGCTTAATGCGACTATTAAACGCAAAAGTGAATTCCCACAGTTGTCGCTTGCTTTGGAGCCACGCAGATATGTAGAATAGCTGGCCACTAAGGCAAGGCATGACTGTTTCAACACTATGTTCCGATAGACCTAGTACATCCAATGCTTTGATTTTTGGATCTGAGTCGACAATGAAATTATCGGCTTCAACGGCTTTTGTTGAGCCAAGATGTTGAGTGTGCTTATTGGCAACGAGCATTGCGATTCCCCGAATTGTCCGCCCTTGGAGAATATCGCTCACTGAGACCATTAGTCCAGCCTCGCGACAGCGAGCACTTATATCTAGCGCCAAGATGGAATCGACTCCCAGCGCGAAGATACTGTTCCACTCCTGAATAGTGTCTATCGATATTTGGGTAACATCTGAAAGGACTGTCCTAAGTATTTGCACATTTTGCCCCAGGACAAGTGTGTCTACAGGCTGCTCAGCATCCTGATGCGGACCCGTGGCGACCAAGGGTAAATCACTGAGCCCAGAAGGGAAATTGACAATTGGCTCATTTTCAGATGCAACGAGATTCTCAATACCCCGGGCAAGATTCTGTATCCAAATATGGAGCTCGTCGTTGGTCAGGAAATCACGACTGGTTGCCCGGATCACAAGTGATTCCTCAGTCTGGTCAAATTCCACATTCAGGCGGTGGTGGGGAACGTCAGGCTTGCGAGCAAACGTGTATGGTTGGAAAAATGAACCTTCTTTTGGATCTTTCGATTTATTGAAAGTGAAAATGGCATCGAATAATGATGAGTTGTCTCCTTTAGTTGCCAGACGCCATCTCTTTTGAATAAGACTCAACGGTGCGTGGTGGTGAGGTTGGGAATCGATACAAAACATTTGGATATCTCGCAAGGCCGATCGGGTGCTTTGGGAAGTAGAATCAAGCTTCAAGCGGAGAGGCACGGTATTGAATAGTGGACCAATAACCGAAGCCGTAGGATCAACATCAAATCCTCGTCCTGATACTACATGACCAAATACCACGTCTCGCTGACCAAGACGCAATGCCAATGACCTCCCAAAAGCAAGCAGCGCCACGGTCTGTATGGTAACATCAAGTAAGCCGCATTGACATTGCAATCTGGCTATTGAGCTCTCAAGCCTGGTCTCTGCCCACTGGACACTGGTCGTCGGGACAGAGGCCGGAGCAGACTGCAGTTGTGGGTATTGGTACCCCGCTACTGCGTCGGTCCAAAACTGGACGGATGATTCTTGTGTGGATGCGATATGGCGTGCTACAGGTGCAAACAAGTCCACATGGCTTTGATTACCATGGTAATGTTGCTCCACACAAGTAAAGAGCATGGGAAGAGAAAACCCATCATAAAGACAGTGATGCATAGTAACGACCATAAGTCGCTGGGAAGGTCCAGTGAGAAAGGTGATCTGCCATGGTGGCCTGTCAAAGCTTTTGATGTTCGGGTAGGCGGCTCGCTGGGATATTTGCTCAACGGCCTCAGGAAGTGATACAACATCTTCATAATGTGACCACTGTATGGTAGAAGATCGATGGACTGCAGCATGGAATTCACGACTTGCCCGGGGCCGGTGAAATGAGGTACGAAGGATATCGACCTGTTCTACCACATTTTGCCAGGCATTGATCAATTTATCGATGTCGATTGTGCTCGCAAGCTCAACTGAATGGTGGTGTACATATTCTTTACCCTCGGAGCTCAAACATTGGCCAATCATCGCTGTTTGCAAGGGTGTGCAATGATAGGTTTCAATAATTGAATCATCCGTGTCGAACAGATCAACACGTAATTCCTGATCAATGGTAGTTTCCTCAGTGAGCGGTATATTGGAGACGACATTGATGTTATCCAAGGACTTGTGGAGAGCGCCGATAGATGGATATCTCAGAATATCGCTGGAAGACACTTTAAGTCCATTTTCTTGTAAGCGCCGAGCCAGATGAATGGAGATGACAGAGTCAATTCCCAAAGCGAAGAATGACACATTTTTAGATACCTGCAACTCAGGAATACCGGTTGTTTCAGCCACAGCTCGGCGAATAGCAGTTTCATCTTCGGTCCATTGCGTTTCGTCCCATTTGACCTGCTCTTTTCTCTGTTGCTGAGAGATCATTCCAGCATCAATGATCACATCTCCGTCAGAAAGCAAGTCTTCAACAAGAGTGGAAATTGCGTCCACCAACGCATGACCTTGCTCGGTGGAAGAATCATCACTCGCAATTCTCAAACGCAAAGTGACTGTGTCGTGATCTGACTCCGCTTTAATCTCCAGTGCAAGGGGGTAGTCCACTGACATGGAACTGTCCATTTCCAACAAAATATTGTCTGCTGGTGACCGAGGACCATATGAAAGATAGGAAAACATCGAGTTGAACAGTGGACCGGACGCATTAGCGTATCGCTGAATATCGCGAAGTGGGGTGTGTTGGTATGGTAGGGATCCGATGATGGCTTCAGTGTGCGTCTTTAGCTGGTCAAGCACCCTCGATTGACCAGAAGGAAGCTGAAACCGACCAGGGATCGTTGTGACGAGGGGGATCAGCATTGATTCCACTGACCCTACTGGGATTCCTCTGCCGTTCATTACTCGGCCATAGATAATGTCACTCTGGTCCAAGTGCTTTGCCAAAGTAATAGCCCACGCCGTTTCCAAGACCATGGACGCAGTAGTGGAATTTTGGGAGGCGTATTTGGAGATATTGGACAATGGGAGAGCTAACTTCTTCTCGACAACTTCATATGAACCATTGTTTTCCCCATGGCTGGTGATGATACCTGGTAGGCAATCAGAAAGATAGTGAGTCCAGAATTGCTCAGCTTGCTTTGCGTCATTGGTAGCAAAATAACGATAAAGTGGAGTGAGATCGACTGGGGTCACGGCTGTCTCCCCAGTGTAGTGCCGGTGAAGTCGGCTGAGGAAGACATTCATACTGGCACCATCGAAGATGGAATGATGGATGGACAGCATTAACCATCCCGATCCCTGCTTTTTGCTGCGCTGGCCGCAAGAAGATGTAGTGGAGGTTTGGTCTCAATTTGGCGGACGATGTTTGATGCGATCCCAGTTTGAACGCTGTTGAACAGATCCCGAGCGGCGCTTTCATCTGATACAGGGACCTCAGTCCATGGAATACTGACAGCACGAGGTTTTAAAACAACCTGTACTATCCTGTCATCTGCGACATGGAAGCAGGTGCGCAGAATCTCACTCTCGTGTATTAAATCTTCAAAGGCCATTTTCAGCGCAGGAAGCGTGATACTCGGCCCCAAACGGCACATGATGTGATTGACATACAAGGGGACCGGGCTACCCACGGAATTGGAGACAATGCTCTCCTGAAGAGGAAGACATGACCGAACCACAGAAATACAGGAACCTGCGAATTTTTTCTGGGACATTCGGAAGACTTGGTCAAGTTCCTTCATGTTCCGTGAAGCTTCATCTGATTGGTCTGAGAATAATTCTCCTCTAGATCCTTGGTCTGGGGCTCCGTGGGATTTCGGCAAACGTGCAAGCCGTACAATTGTAGGATTGGAAAGAACATCGCCCGCTGCACAAACATAGCCCGCCCGGCGCATCTTGGCAGCCACACCGAGAGAAGCCAGGCTATCGATCCCAAGCTGAAATATGTTTGTGGCTCTGGTAATACTGCTTGGTTCCACTTGCAGCTGAGAGCAGAGGATATCACGAACCTGATCCTCATCTGCTGTTAAAGCCGCGGTATCTGGTTCCACGATCGTCTGAGGAATATGAGTGGCAGCCTCTCCGGACCCCAGGAGCAAATCTGACACAGGGATACTTTCATATAGCGCCACAAGACGACGATTGTCTGCTTTCCCTGAGATTTGGATGGGAATTGAACTAACAGTGAGCAAGACACTGGGTACCATGTACGCAGGTAGTTCAACGCGGCAGCGCGCCAGAATATTTGGCACCCATGTTTGGTATCTGTCCTTTAGGAAAGTGGGTTGTGTTGCAGTGTCTTCTGGTCGGTTACTGGAAGGACTGATGAATGAGACCAACTGAGGGCGTTTCGTGATTGGGGAGGGCGTTACTATTGAGGTGACATTGACTGGAAAGTCTGCACACCGACGGACCGCCACTGAAACCTCTTCGAGCTCGAGACGCTGACCACGTATTTTACCCTGGCTATCCCGCCGGCCCAAGTACTCAACGCAGTTGTTGGCCATCAAGCGCACAATATCTCCAGTGCGGTACATTTGTTGCCCATTTAAATCAGTGAAGCCACCTGCGTCGGGTCTGCGATGGTACCCATTGGCGACTAAATCACCTGTCACGCAGAGCTCTCCTGCCTGACCCCGCTTGACATATCTCGTCGTGTCGGGCTCCAAAACGTGGATGGTTATGTTACCGACAGCAGTACCGATATTGCGCACAGTAGACCGAGGCGTTACCGTGTGGCTTGTCATCCCAATTGTCACCTCAGTTGGGCCATATGCGTTCACGAGTGCAATGGATGGTTTGCCGACGAAGCGCTCAATGATTGTCTCTGAGATCTTCTCCCCCCGACGCCGAGATATCGGAGATCGGGCAGCTGCTCAGCGCTAAGACCGGCATGCTCAAGGAGTGAAGGAACAAATCCGGCGTGACTTATCCTTAGTCGGGTGAGAACTAGAAATAAATTGTCCAGAAGCATGGTCCGAGGACCTGTTACCAGACGAAGGCCATGTCGCCAGCCTAGCACCATCTCACAAATGTGTACATCAAAGGCCCGACTGGCATGCGCAAGATAACTTCCTGTGCCTTTCAACTTTAGAGTATCTGGTACATCCCGACAGATATATTCTGACTGCGCTTCAGTAAAGGCAGAGAGATTTCCCCGACTGACAAGCACACCTTTGGGCGTTCCCGTTGACCCAGAGGTGTAAAGAAGATAGCAGTCATCGGTTGGTTTAGGATCGAATTCGGTGGCTGGTTCGATTACCCAGGTATCTTCAAGAAGTTCGGGGTCTTCAATATCAATCACTAGACAATTCTCAGGAGGGATAATTGTTTTGGCGACGCTCTTGTCCGTGAAAAATGCCATAGCACCGCTGTCTGCGAGAAGGAAGATCTGGCGCGCCTCCGGGAGATCTTCTGCCACAGGCACATAGCAATTTCCACTTTTCCAAATTGCTAGAACAAGTGCGTAGGCCATGAAAGAGCGACTGAGGCAGACTGCAATGGATTGATTGCGCCATCCATGAGCTTTAAGCCATGCACATAGCTGATTGGAGGTTTGGGATAGTTCATCGTATGTCCATGTTTGAGAGAGAGTCTCGTTCTCACTGATATTCCCTATTATCTCGAGGGCACTCCAAGTGGGATTGCTGGATGCCCAATGATCAACCCAATGTGCAGGGGATAATAGAGGGGCTTGTTGGAGTTGGTCACTAGCCAACGGTGAGTGGACCGAGAGCAGGTCATTCGGGAAGGATTGCGTAAGATCTCGAACTGATTCGGCTTGTTGGGACGACACAACAACAATGAGAGCATTGATCTGTCTTATCACCAGTTCCAAATGGGGTACATCCATCAAGTCAGCCCTGGCATATAGTGTACAAATGAGCATGCCCTTCTCTGAACGTTGGAAGTTAAGCTGCATGGGTGCACTGGAGAATGCCATGAGTGTCTCATGTAACTCTACGTCCGAGTTCTGGCAAGTTAAAGCATCAGATTGATGCGTAAAGAGCGCATTGTAGGGGGTATCCTTTGAAGGAACACGCAAAATCTCACGAAGCTCTTCAAGAGGCGGGGTTGGGAACGTGGCTGCTCTTGTGGTGAATCCATCAATCCGAGAAAGCAAGTCATTGACAGAATCACCGGTGGAAATCAAGATCGGGAGTGGGGTTATCGAGTCGCCATCTCTAAGATTTGACAATGGCCAGTCCCCTAGAATCACTCTATCTGACTCGATATATTCGGCCAGGATACATGCAAATGCCGCACGAATCACTGAGATGGGTGAGCTCAGATGAAATTCTTGTGCTAGGCTGTTCAACCTTTCCCATGAGACACCCAGTGCGAGGGTTTGCGTCAGCACTGGAGTGTTTCTGGTAGAGGCGAGCAAACGGTCACAGGATATCGTGGGGAATTTTCTCTCAGGACAGCCCACAAACTCCGCCAGCTCCTTTCTCCAAAAGGTGGCATTGGAATCTTTGTTTTGTGTCTGTTGCATATAGAATTCCAACCGATCAAAACTTGATATATTCGTTCCCTCCTCCAATTTCCCTCGATAGGTGAGATCGCCACGCAACGATTGCAAATCAATGGAGAATAGTACTCGAATCTGTGGGGTATGAAGTAAAATGTTAGCTATTGATCTTTCATGCAACACTGCTTTGTTCCGACTTACGGAATTTGGCAAATCCACCGCAATGTCTGCTGCCTCTACAAGGCGCATTCCGAATTCCACGTTATCCGTTTCTTCAAGAGCAGCCTCGTACACCTCCCACGTGAGAGCTTGATGTTCAGTCGTGTAGTGCACTATCACGACTGCGTATTCTGCGGTTGAATCTGCATTCTCTGCCATGATCCAAAACGAGATGTGACTTTGATCACTCACGGACATAATCCAACGGGCGTATCCATGAATCAAGGAACTGAGACCATCTGATTTCCCCACGCCCTGCAAACAACCGACGTCAAACTGCACACTCGGGAGACCCAAAGATTGACTCGTCTCGGTGTGCAATGGGAATGCAGTAGTTGGGATATTTGCTCCTTCCAAGCGAGCTGACGGCTGCAGAGAGCACTTCCATGGCTTGGTTTGAGTTGACATTTTGGATTCGTTGATGAGCTCGACCTTGGAAGCTCTGAGTCCCTGTAGGAAGCTGTGAGCTTGCTTTAATATCTAAGAGTTACAGCCCAAGAAAAAAAAATCTACAATCTTACTATGCATGTACTATGCTTCGGCATAACGGTTAATAATACATGCTGTTTCGTACCGTCACGCTCATGCAACCCTAAATCGTCACCACCCGTACCGCAATACATGGCCCCACCACTTGTATTTTTCAAATCTTGGATACCGGGAACAACCCTCCAGCGCTTGAAACAACTTGTATCATCAAGTGGACACACCTGGAGGATCTCGAAACTACGTATTCCCTTTTTAGTTTGAGACATTCTTGGCAGAGCAGAAGCAAACAAGCAAATAGAATTTTTGTTCTTAAGGGGAAAAAACAGAAATTTCCCAGGGGCATTTACGTATCTCATCCATCGTACGAGCCTACGAGGGTTGAAGTTATGTATGTTAAATCTCAAACTGCGCTGTTTCCTAAGTTGGCTATCACTCACTACATACTTACATATTTACTTGTGTATGTAGGTAGGTGTTAGTAGGGTATGGCCGGCAACTTGTGCCAATAGGAACTGAAAAATGATATCTGATCTAGACTTACAAGACCAATATGGAGAATTTTGAACTAACTACCTAGTGCCCTCAATGGATTGGGAAGGAAGCTTCTCCCCAGCTGTATCAGTACTAGGTCTTGGCGAAAATAGTGATCAACCCCAATATCAAGAATGTTACACACCAGAGTAACAAAACATGGCGATCTTGATTATACTCACATAATTTAGCTAGCGGTTACCTGTGGAGTTGCACCACAACACACACACACAGCTGAAGATTAATGGAGCTGCCTGTTTGGGGTCATGTCCTAGGGCTAGCTCAATTCAAGATATAGCTCATAGATGTAAACTGATGTAACGGATTTCACAATACCGAATCATGCCACTATTCCCGTAGAGGATTAATGTCCGTGATTTGGATTTGGGTGGTAATCTCTTGGTCACAAATTGCTTTTCACTGTGGACCAATTACTAGCCAGCCTCGCCACAAGCGCTAAATCTAGCCTACGAGGGAGTTCTTTTGTACCCTTGCAATAATGAATGCCGAACTCGGTGCTGAAAAAGTGGCGACCACGCCTATAGACAGAATTATGTGGTTAGGTCATCAACTAGATTTTTTGGATATTTATTGCTTCTGCTAGGACCCTCTGAGAACTGTTTCGATCAGGATCTACCAATTTTCCTTCCTTTTCAGACAGATTACTTGGCGGTCTCAGCTTGTTTCTGTCATCATGAGCCAGCCTGCATCTAATCCCTCTAAATTGGGGGCGCATTCACTTCCGGGTCAAACCGGTCCGATGTTTGCAACAGACTCTGGAAAGGATGAACTGTCATTCTCAAATCAGAAAGAACTTGGAGAGCGGCCTGATGGAATTGTCGAGGAGGGCCCAACTGGTGTGCAAAAAGCCGAAGCGGTAGTGCTTGCATGGAGCAAACACACCGTGTGGGCCATTTACGCTTGGTATGTGGTCACTTTGCAGCTAGCTACTCACTTAAAGAACGATATTCTACAGTGATTAGGATAATACTAACGTCTATTCTTAGGATTTGGGTCTGCTTTTTCATATTGGCGTTCCATTCATCGATCGGCACCAACGTGATTTTCAACGCCTACGCCAATTTTAATACCGCCCCTCAGATTTCGACCGCAGCGATCCTAGCCACTGTCGTAGGTGGTGTGGTAAAGCTTCCTATCGCCAAAATCCTCAACATCTGGGGTCGAGCCGAGGCCCTCACTATCTTTACAGCACTGTTTTTGCTGGGGACAATCATATTGGCGTCATGCAATGGGCCGAATGGATTTGCGGCGGGATACGTTCTGTATTGGGTTGGCTACAACGCAATCTACCTGATCCTTGATGTCTTCATTGCTGATACGTCGGGTTTGAGGAACCGAGCATTTGCGTTTGCATTCTCCAGTACGCCCTTCATTTGCACGGCTTTCACGGGTCCCTTGGCTGCCCAGTCCTTTTTAAGCATGACAACATGGCGCTGGGCATACGGAGCATTTGCAATCATCTTCCCATTTGTCTTTCTGCCCCTCACTGTCGTGTTCAAGTTCTACGAGATGAAAGCTAAGAAAATGGGTTTGTATCACAAAGAAAAAAGCAACCGCACTTGGTCTCAATCTGTCATGCATTATGTCCACGAGTTTGATAGTGAGTGCCCTTCCTTTTTGTGAAAATAATTCGCACTCAATTATTAACAGTAAATAGTTATCGGCGCCTTTCTATTGATGGCAACGTTTATTTTGCTACTGCTGCCGTTCAGTTTGGCAATCTATGGACGAGCCGAATACGGATCGGCCACTTTTATCGCTATGCTAGTCATCGGGTTCTGTCTGTTCTTTGTCTTTGTGGCATGGGAAAAGTTCTGCGCTCGCAAGCAATTCATCCAGTACGATTTGCTGAAGCAGCGGACAGTCCTTGGTGCCTGCTTACTATCAGCTATGCTCAACCTTGGCTACGCCGCTTGGGATCTCTATTTCCTCAATTTTGTCATGGTGGTGTACGACCTCAGTGTGTCGGACGCAGGCTATATGAACCAGATATACAATATTGGATCTTGCTTCATTGCGCCCGTGTTTGGTATTTATATCCGACAAGCCAGACATTTCAAAAACGCTTGTCTTTTCTTCGCTCTTCCCTTGATGCTTCTTGGCTCAGGGTTGATGATTCACTTCCGCGGTGAAGGTGACGGGATCGGATATGTTGTCATGTGTCAAATTTTCATCGCCTTTGCTGGTGGTATGTTAGTCATCGGACAGGACATGGCGGTGATGAGCTCAGCGGATCACGATGGTGTGCCAATGATGCTTTCGATCCTTGGACTTTTCGCCAGTCTGGGCGGAGCTGCTGGAAACACAGTTGCCTCTGCCATCTATGCCAACGTCTTCCCAAGCACTTTATTGGCCAACTTACCTGCTGAGGCACAGGCTAATTGGGCGGATATATACCTTGGAGGATATTTAAAGCAGATGAACTATCCCATGGGATCAGAGATTCGGACCGCCATTAACTTGGCCTGGGGTGATACCCAAAAGTATAGCTGTATCGCAACCACTGCTGTCGTGGCACTGGGATTGCCTTGCATTGCTATCTGGAGAAATGTGAATGTCGACAAGAAGCAGGTACCTGGCACTGTCCTTTAGACCTACACAGTCTGCCATGATTGCGGTTGGTATTCAGTCAGACAGCACCGTTGTTCCCGGAGATGGGGAATTTTGCTTGAGTTTAGTATATCGTTGTTCTTTTCATTTCAGTTTTAATATTTGAATTTAAAATAAAATAATAATCTTGACTTGCTTTTTGCTTGTTGCTTCTCGTTTTCTTTAATTTTCTTCAGATTCTAATTTTACTAGGACTGAATGTAATGGCAAGTCTCTGTTATAAAGTAGTTGGCAATGTCCCTTTATAGTAACAGGTAAATGGACTCATTTATATTGCTTGATTACATAGGTCAAGCTATCTGGTAATTGTCTTATCATGCTTCATCTGTATTAAACGAGTCGTTACCCCAAGTTGACAATCCTAGGTCCCCTGTAATTAAGTTATAAAGAACAAGAAAGGAAGTATATGAAGCAACACCTTCAGTGAGCGTAGGGGAGGATCAACGGAGTTCTCCACACGTATCACTAAACCTCCTAGGCCTAATGTATGAAATACTAGTTAGAAGCAAGAACTCATTAATTTCAATAGTAGCAAAATCTATCTCTTGTAATACGTCTATTTTGAAATTCAACATAGATCTGACTGGAGGTCAAAGACACCCCCACATCCAATCCGACATTAGGTGGCTAGTGATTGATGCAACACACTCTCCCGATACATCTCACTCCGATCAACAAGCTCTGTATGGGTGCCGTGGTCAACGCAATGACCATCCTGAATGAGGAAAATTTGATCCGCACGATAGATGGTCTTCAGCCGATGCGCAATAGCGATGATTGTAGTTTTACCCGCAAGGTTAGACAAGGCATCCTGAATCTTTCGCTCAGATTCACCATCAAGAGCACTAGTAGACTCATCGAGAAGTAGCAGGCCTGGCTTTCTGACCAAGGCCCTTGCGATAGATAGGCGCTGGCGTTGACCGCCCGAAAACTGCTTTCCATCATGTGTACAGAATGTATCATAGCCATCAGGCAAGCTCGTAATCACATCATGGATCTGAGCTTGCTTACAAGCTTCCTCAATGTCGACTTGTGTCGCCGTATACCCGGGTCTTGCCCCGAGCCCTATGTTAAAAGCTAGAGTTCCCTCGAATAACACGTTCTCTTGTGGAACAAGTGCGATGTCGTCCCTGAATGTGGTTGACAATATACGGTTGATGTTCTGTTCATTGATTGTAACAAACCCGGATGTGGGTTGATAGAATCTTTCCAGCATGTTGAAGATGGTGGATTTTCCTGAGCCACTGGGCCCAACCAGCGCGTAGAAGTTTCCTGGTTTGAAATCGATGCTCAATTCATTGAGCACAGGAATATGGGACGATTTGGGATACGCGAAGCACACTTTGTGTAACTTTGCACCCACTGGTCTCTGGGAAATTTTAGAAGAAGCTGCATCAGAAGTCATGTTGGCCTCAGGATCTGTATTTGGCATTTCCATCTTCATCATTTGCTGTGTGTAGTTGTCGCCACTGTGCTCCTCCTCAGCGGAGTTTGTTTTCACAAGGTCAACGACACGAGAAGCAGCCTTTCCAGCCTTCGAAACATCTGGTGCCAAGGCAAGCATCTGACCACACGACTGCGTGCTGAACAGAAGAGCTGGTAAAACAATAAAGAATTGGGTTTGGGAGTATAGCCCTGAGGCAATTTGCTTGGATCCCCACCAGTATGCAAGGGCGCTGATGAGATTGCTGACACTGAAGGCCCACGCTAACCAGAAGTTTCCCCAGGCGATCGCCTTTGTGGTGTTCTTATACGGC